AGATGTTGGGAAAGGAATATTCTTTAATAACTTAGCTGTTAATTTTCCATTTAAAAATAATGATCAAGTTACTAACATTTTATTTGGTGAATCTTCTATGCTGGTAATAATGTTTCTAATAATAAGATTGTGGTCAATCATTGATATAATAGAACATAGAGTTCTTAAAATTATTTTGTTTTGAGAGATTAGAGCTATTACCAGAATTCGTTTCCCTAGTAGTACATATCAGTACCCTGGCACAAAATCAAAGGGGTTACTTCTTGGAAATTGAGTTTGTGTTTTTCCTGATCTTGAACAAAACACGTTCCTGATCTTACCAGTGGATTTCTCCCTGACTGTGGTGAGTACTGGAGGTATTTGGTGCACAATATTAAGTGTGAGGATACTTTCAGGATCAGAGTCTGTATGGCACAAAACTGGGACACAAACCCACCTGCCAAACTGGTGCCTTAGGAGTCACCTTTCAGCACACCTCTGGGAACAGGATCTCAAAGGGTCACTGTGTTCATGACCAGCAGGTCTCTGCCATAGTTCATAACCCAGTGCTGCATTTTTTTGTCCTGGGCACAAACTGAAATTGTATCTGAGACATTTAATACATGTGCATTTGCAGAGGGGCTGCTGCCATCACACTGCCAACAGTTCCATGATGTCAATTAACGTCAGCTGGATAATGTTGGAATTGCCAAAGCCCACTCTCTTGTGACCTTGTTCACTAAAAAAAGATAAGGGTACTAAAACAGAAGTGCACATATCAGTGAGAAAGTAAATGAAAAGGCAGAAATAAAAAAGAATAGATGGGAGATGAACAAATGTTAGGGAAACAACTGATGCAGTGAGAGCAGGGAGGGAAGGGTGCAGGGCCAAACTGGGGTTTTGCTGAGCAGAAATGATGCTGTAGACGTGTAAATATTCAATTCTGTTCAAGTCACCATTCTTGAAAGTTGCCAATTCTGAGTTTTTTCCCTGAAATAGTTGAGGCAGATAATTCCTTAAGGATGTTACCATTTCTCTCTTGCTGGATGAAGCCTAAAGGTGCAATTACAAGATCTGGTCACAGTCTCTTTTATAAAGGTAGGTTGGTAGTTTTCTACCTCAGACCTGCTTTGTCTCCAGTACAGCTTTTAATGGAATTTAATGAGCTATCACAGATTTTGGTTCTGTGGCTGTATTTCCATATTTTCTGTTTCAGTTTATCAATACCTTCCTCATTGGCGTATGATAAACCTTAACTATTATTTGCAAAAGCAGTTGTTATATTTTTCTGAAGCTCCTATAGTAAACAATATTATTGTTCTGTGTGAAAGGTGTGCATGCATTTGTACTCTGTATATACACACTGTACCACATGGGCTGAGATAACTCTATCTGGGAGTCTCCAACCAAGAAGCCCAGAAATTACTCCAGTCAAAACAAAATTAATTATAAAAGACTAGAAATGCCACCCCAAGCCTTGAGAGTTTTAATGAGATGACTGTTTCTTACCAGCATTAAATCTGTGGGGATAAGGAAATGTTCACTGAGTTAAGATGTGCTAAGAAAAGTGTAAAGAAGAGCATAAATGGCTCAGGAATTTCAGGAATCCCACTGGCTTAAACACTCTTTTATTTAAAGCAAATGTTCTCATAGTTGAATGACTTCCAAGAAGGGCCTCAAGTGATGAAAGTATTTCCATCTAATGTGAAAATACTTGAAAGATGCTTGTTCCATGTGAAAATATTGCCACCTTTCAGAAAAGCCTGAATATGAGACTGCTTTAATGAAAATACTCTCAGACAAGGTATTGATTTTCAGAACATACAAAATATCCAGAATTCCTACTATTTTGATAATAAATAGATTTTAACGACTTTCATCTCCCACAGCAGCCAGGGAGAATATTTCAGAGTATTTCACAAAACAGATACTTCAGTAATAGAGTGAAAAATTTCACACTCATCATCCTGACATTGCTCCCTTTTCCCTCAGGGCATGACTGACCTGGAAAGTACCACAGAGCATCTGCAGGGAAAAGCAACGGGGAAACAAAACCTGTAGAGACCAGCAAGGCACAAACAACTCTGGTCCACAGCAGTGGCTTTTTAATTCCTATTTTAAGATTTTTAGATGTTCACTTGTGCTGAATAAACTCCATTTAATAGCTTCTAAATTTGCCGCATTTAGAGAATAAACATAGTCACTGCTTTCTTCATGAAAGCAGAGTAACTTCAACACACAGTTTGATTCAAAAGTGCCAGGGAGGTGCCAGGGATTGTGACAGGGTGTGAAGGGATGTGTGGCCCAGCAGGTGTCAGAGCACTTTGTACTGTGCAATAATTCATTGCACACATATTGGGAATTGGGTTGATGCTGGTGTCTGCATCTAAAAATTCAGATGGGGATTACTGGATGCTCCTAAAGCTTTTGCAAGATGCTCAGGAAGTGCAGACTTCCAGAAATCAAATCAACTGAGCTACTAAATTTGATTGGAAAGCAGAGGTAGATTTTTTATCTTGTTTTCCTAAAGGCAAGAAATGTGCAAGTACATGACTAACCACCAAGGGTCAGTGTTCAGTGTTTTTACATTCTGACATCTTTGTTCCCAGGTGCTTGGAAAATCCCCTTTAGATGCAGTCCTGTAATCAGGATTTTCCAAACATATTTTTAAACTACCAGTGAGATGCATATGTGCCATACAAAGTATGGGAAAATTCAAGTGTCTGCATATGGGGCTTTTGTCAGCCAGCTACCGACTGAGTATTGTTCATATTCCTGGTTATAATTATATAAGTCCCATTGAAAATAATAAAAAAAAACACCCTAGGAACTGGATTTTATTATTATGAATAACAATTAAGTTATTGTAGCAAATGCCATTCTTCTGTTTTGTTAAGAAAGTTAAGACAGCCCTTACTGAGAGATTGTCAGGTGCTTTGTCAAGATGGCAAGGGATGCACTGTCAAGAGGAGTGAACACATTTTAAATAAGTTCCTGTGGAGAGAAGTAATTTAACCTGACTTTAGAACATAGTTAGGGTGGGTATCAGACATCAGGAGATTGAGCTGCAGGCCTGGCTGGCCTCGCCTGTTTCTGGGATGTGAATGTAGGTCATAATCCTTGATTGGCACAAACCCAGAATGTACTGACAGGCATTCATATAAACTGCAGCTCATGAAGAAATCTCCAGCCAGCCTTACAAAATAAACCCAACCCACCTTACTCCACGTAAGGCACAGAGATCCCTTTGTTCCCCTTCTGCCCCACGGCTGAGCTCCAGGCACAGCTGCCCATGCTGGGAGCTTCTGATGTGCCCCGGCTCAGCTGTGACTCAGAAGGTGTAAAACTGGGCAGATTTCTGTGTGGAGCTCTTTATTCCTCTGTAGGCACAGCCCAACCCTGGCAGTGCTGACACTGCTGTGTCTGGGTGAGCACTCGGCCACCTGGAGCCCGTCTGAGCTGGGTGCAGCAGCCGGGAGCACAGGGGGAGCCGATCTGTGCTGACTTAATCCCGGATTACCCGACCTGCATGTCTGTACACGGGTCTCAGCCCCACTCCCTGCCCTGGCCAGTCTGCATCACCCTTCCAGCACTGCCATCCCTCAGCAATCATCATTTCTGCATGCTGCTGAATGAGGATCAGCCCTCGGGAAAGGACATGAAATTACAAAGGAAAGACGGATCAAATAAAACCCAGTGGAAATTTAAAAAGAGCAAAAATACTAAAAAAACTAAAATGAGAGTGCTAAACAGTACAAATCCTAGCACAGAACTCTGGGGGATTTTACTGTAAAAACCTTTTATTCCTTATTCTATTTTTAATAAGGATTTATGTTAATCTTCCATGGCAACCAAATCTCTTTAAGAACCTTTGGTGAAGGAAACAGTAATAGGGTTTCGAGAAATCCGAGTCCACTCTCAAGTTTTTATCAGTTATCTTTATCAGTTCTGGAGAACACTAGGAGGGGAAATAGTAATGTAAACACCATCATGTCATCACCACAATTTTAACCTCTGTGAGGCAAAGTAGAATCAGTAATACAAAACTAAAGTATGTATCTAGAAGAACAGCCAAAACCCAGCAGATGCTGCCTGTAGCAGTTATTATTCAAGTTGTTTAGTCCACATTAAACCAATGTGTGTAATGCCATCCTGTATGCTTCTGTAACAATATAGAAATGTTCATAAAATTAGCTAAGAAAAAAATAATGCTTCAAATTTGTAAAAAAGGCTGGTGGAGGAAAAATTTAAGTATATTCTGGTGAAATAGTGAATGGACAGAATAAACACATCTCCTTAGTGTAAGGTACTGAGACTTTTCTCTGAAGTGTGTCTGAAGCAGACAGGATCCTGGCTCAGGCATCCACAAGTTTGATGAAATAAGGCTAACCTCTTCCTATGAAACAAATACAGTATTTTCTGGAACAAAAAAAGATCAAACAAAGAAGTACTCATGCGTTTTAGCTATCGTGTAGTGAACTAAGCAAGATGAAAAGCAGGCGTGAGGTGGGGTTTGATGTGCTGTGAGGGCTGGATGCAGAGCCTTGGCTGCGAGCCCTGGGCTGAAAAGAAGAAATGACAATATGAGTGAAGAATAGGTAAAACTACCCCACCCCTTCTCATCCTGTTCGAAGGGGGCACATTTCCCACCTCTAGGGGTTAAACGCAGCTGCTCCTCACCCCCGTGCTTAGAGCACTTGTAATCCTTTACCTCCTCAAATAACTGAATTGGTATTTTCACCTCATTTAACTTTATTATTATTTATTATTATTATTATTATTATCATTATTATTAAATTTAACTGTTTTTAAGCAATTCTTTACCCTACTCTGATTGCAGTGTCTGTGGCAGGTACAAGTACACTGCCCGACCTACACCTTGAGCACAGGTAATTCTGCACCACGCCAGCAGCTCTCCACCCGTGACCTCCACGGCCCGTCCGCGCCCGCGGCAGCGCTGACAGCCGGGCCGGGCTGTGAAGAGGCAGCACCCGCCACGTTGGGACGGAGCGGCGCCTCCCGGGCGGTGCGGGGGGAACGCGGGGCGGCTCTCGGCCCGGGAGGTCACTCGGGGCTGGTGACACGATCGCGTTCCGCCCACGCGTCACCGCGGGGCCGCTGACACGATCCCGCCTCGCCCCCTCACGGAGGCGGCGCGGCCGTGAGGGCAACCCCCGCCTCCAACGGGTCTCACCGTGATTGGCGCGAGTGCACCCTTTCTCCGCTGTGATTGGTTAGACCTGCTGTCGCTCTCGGCCTCTGCGGGCAGGGGCGGGCGCTGAGTGGCCGGCGCTGGCGGTGGCCCCGCCCCCGCGGGGACGCGCGGGCGGAGCGGAGCTGCGGCCGGAGCCGCAGGAGCCGCCGGAGCGGGGGCGGCCTGAGGGCGGGTGACGCGGCAGCCGCCGCCGCCGCCGCCGCCATGGAGGCGAAACCGGCGGACCCGCTGCTCTGCGACAGCCTCATCCTCTGGGTGAGTGGCGCGGGGGTTCCGCCGCCGCTGGGGACCCTCGAGGGCAGCGAGGAGGCGCCAGCGGCGGAGCTTTTCCCTCCATGCATCTCCCGTCCCTCCGTCCCCGCCCGGGAGCAGGAGTGCGGGTGGGTCGGGCACGGCCGCGGCGGCGGGGCTGCCTGGGACGCGCTGCTCACAGCCGGCAGAAGGCTCCCGCGGCACCCTCCGGCTGTGCCGTGCTGGCTGGAATACCCCGTGGGCCCAAGTGCGGAAACTGCTCGGCAATTAACGCTATTAATAAATAAATGCAATTAATTTGAATTGACAGGCGTAGAAACCTCAGAGTTTTTCCTGCTGGCTGGTTAAAGCGTTTATTAGTCAGGTACGCCACACCTGGGTGTGTGATGTTACCTGTGCCAGAGGCACCTGTTTGGAACTGCAGAATTATTTAGGTCGGAAAAGACTTTTAAGGTCATCGAGTGCAAACATATTTGTCAAATTCATCAATTACTTTTGCTTCCTCTTTTATCTTTCTCTCCAAGCCTCTTCTGTGACCTTGTCTGTAGCTCTGGTGTTGCAGGTGCAGTAATTTCGGTGACAGGGAGCTCTGTGAAATAGAACTTCTGTAGGAAATCCTGGCAGGGAGGGTCACGATTACCTGTGTGAAGGGTTTCTCTAGAAATAAATCTAGGAGTGCTGCCTCTGTGAAGTGTAAATCATGGAGAGAAGGGAGCGTTTTAGAGGCACTTTAGAAATCCAGGAATGAAACTGGTAAAAGTAACAGGAGCAGCAGCCTGAGTAAGGTGTTCTTGATTTCTGCATGGCAGTACAGAAGTGTTAATGAGTTAAAGTCTGTAATAAGTCACTGATAAACAATTTCTTTCCTTCTTTTTCCTCCTTCCATTTTCCTTTTAGTGACATTGTATTCTCCCAAGGTTTTGTTGCTGTCTAAAATTTTGGTTGCCTTATGTTGGTTATCTTTTGTTGTTTAATCTTTCTCTTTTTTTGGGGTTCTTCAGCTTAGTATTTCCCCCTCAGTAGTCAGGTGACAATAACTCCATCATGATTCAATGGCAAAAAAAAAAAAAATCACTGCATTCCTGAACTCTCACAACAATCCTGTCAGCAGCTGAACTCTTTTGTTTTTCACAATTCCTGCTTTAAATATTTCTATCCTAATTGTAATTTTTGTTATGCTCACAATGCAATAGCTGTAATCACATCATGAATCTTAATGGAACCTTCACTGGCCTTAAACTGGGGAATTGTGTCTGTGAAAAGCAAGACCCAACCCTGTGTTGGGTTTTCTATACAGCACTCAGCAGATGCGTGGTTTTAGATTTAGCACCCTATTTCTCAGGCCTAGTTTGCAACTTAGAAACTGATTCTTAACACTTGGATCTGTCTGAAACATCCTTTCACAATTTGAACTTTAGTGTGAATAATAGGGAGAAAGTTGATGTGAGGAGAGGGGGATGAAGTGCTCTGTGTTTGGAGAGAAAAGGGAACTGTAACTCTGTGCTTGTGATGGTTTCTCTGTTTATTTACTCATTAATATTGCAAACAGATGCTTATGATTCTCTGTATTTTGCTGCCAGATCTGGCGTTTTCCTATTTTTATTTTACCAAATGCAGTATTAGAAAACATGCTGCATCCAGACAAGAAAGAGAATATTCAAATAAAAACATTACCTGTTGTTTCTACAGCCCAGGTGTCATTGAATTTAAAATTCTGAGGATTTCACAGGAAAAACAAAGCAGCTAATCTGAATTATAGGGGTAATGTTTATGAGTATCCACGAAAAATTGACGTAGGTAATATCTGCTACGGTGGAACTCACAAGCTGCAGCAGAAACAATTTCCTAAGTTAGTTATTTTTCCTCTGTGTAGAGGAAAAGTTAACTGGATGTTTTTCAGTCCTGTACTGCCTTAGCCTCCAAACCAGGGACTGGATGTATGGCAGCATCTTAAATTTGAAGCATTTTCCACTATAAATGCACTGCTTGGCACTGGCACCACTGGTAATGTTTATTCTGTCCAGTGGCTGATTTATTCTGTTAATATACTTGGTTTCAGCATGGGAATGTTTATTTTTATTTTAAAATCTCTTTGCTTACTCTGTAAAACCTCTGTCCCTCGTGTGTATAATTGTGTGTATAAACTCACCCCCTCATTGTCCGGGGAAACTGAGGGCACACCTTCCCAGGTGGATGGGCTGATTTCTGCTGGGCACTCTCTACACTCATGTTGCATCTGCAAATGTTTGGTGGTAGAGGTACAAAATTACCTTTTCAGCTGTATATTGGGAGCAGAACAGCTCTGTGTCTGAGAGAGGAACTTCTGCTGTAGCAGCAGGTGGCAGAGTGCATTTGGGGTGGAATTCACAAAATGGTTTTCAGTGTGAGTAGCAGTGTATCCTTGGAGCTCTATTTAGTAAAACTGAAAAAAAGACGGAAGAAAGAGCACTGCTACAGTCCTGAAGTCTGTGGCTCCTTTTTCCAGCCTGCTTCCCACACCTGCCACTTTTATTGGTTTTGCAAGAACAGTAAAAATCCATTTTGATGAAATGATTGGGCTGGCATGAGGTTTGGAGAACCCATAATTAATACTTCTACTCTCTTATTATTTCTAGGTCCTTATGTGACTTTTAAATACATAGAGAAGCCCAGACTGTCAGTTCTGCTTTCTACTTAATTTTAATTAGCTGTTTCTATTCTGGGAGATCATGCATAAAGCAGTGTTGCATGTCAGGGTTTTCTGAGGCCTTGTTTATCTGCTCTGACAGGCTCAGGTGAAAGGATTGCACCTGTACACAGCAATTTCCTTGTTTTGTGAGGGGAATATCCAGATGGCAGCATCACAACATTACCATAAAATTCTGGATTTGGGAAGCCCAGCCTGAAATGTAAACTTGCATGCCTGTGCTTGTGCTGAGGCTGTTGGAGTAGTAGAAGTGCTGTCAGGCATAGCAGCTTTGGGCTGTGGTGTTCCACTTAATCTTTTATGTAACCTACGAGGGATTACTGACTTCTCACTTCCTGTAAGACAGGATTTAAACCCACTTTTTAAATTAAAAAAAATCCCCTTGCTCTGCCTATTTTTCTCTTGGCTTGATTGGACTCTCCTTGAAGGAAGCAAACAAATATTCAGAATTATGGTCACTCTTTGTAAACACAGAATGGAGAAAAACTGCCTCAGATTCTCACAGCTGAAAACTGCTTTTCCATCACTCTGGTCCCAAAGCTCCATTTCCCAAACAGAAGGTCATTTTTTACCAGGAGTTCTGAAGAAGCTTGTGTTGCACAGGATGTTTGGGAAAGCCCTCTTGCAGAGGGACAGGTAATTTAGGACATTGTAAATGCACTAAATTTAAGAAGTCAGTATCTGCAGTGAATGGGGTTTGTAAGGATTTGTACTTGCTCCCACTCTATTCTGTTTTTTAGTAGTACTGATAATAAACTTTCTGTTTTGTTTATTGTGGTAAAGAAGGCTCTTATTTTCCTGAGTAACTAAGATGAACTGACCTGGGTATAAAAATGGCTCTCTCATATAGAATAATTAGTTCTGAGTTGATTGGTTTTGGAGGAATAAAATATTGCTATTCTAAATATACAGCTAAATTCTGTCAAAATGTTAGCTATAGGCTTGGGGATAGTTTAAAAAAAATCACACAATATTTAAAACAGAGAAACATTTTAACATTGAGGTAATCCCATCCTGTTTCTGTTACTAAGTTCTTGTAGGAAAAGACTGGGTTTTTTTTTCCCTATCAACTTTCACTCCTTATTCTGATACTGTTTTTTGTTTAGGTAGTTATGTACAGAAATAAGCATTACAAACCAATTCAAAGGCTGGATAAATATGACTTTAGTCTCCCAAGTTATCTTTCCATTATCTGCTTTACAATAGAAGGCCTAGGGTGAAAAAACAGAGTGTGGGTGTTTGTACCAACTTTTAAAGCTACCAGTCATAACAGTCACAAGTGTTGAGAAAATTCAGTTGGCTAAAAGTCTGTGTGGTTCAAAAAGGATTTCAAGTAGAAAGACATCTTGCTAAATGCCTGAAAGGGGAGGAGGAAGATGGCAGCTAATTTATTGTCTACTGAACTAAACCCGTGTTTTTCCCTGTTTTAGCTGCAGACATTCAATACAGCTGCACCCTGCAGGGATGTCCAGGACTTGACTAACGGGGTTGCCATGGCTCAGGTGCTTCACCAAATGTAAGTTGATTCTTCAGCTGGAAGAAGAGGGATTCAATTGCCTGAGGTTTTTGTGTTTGACAGACACAGTTGCTTTTAAAGTAGGTAGAAATGGACAGTTTGTAGCAGAAGATAGGTCATGCCTTTGTATTGCTGTTTTGGGGGTGATATAGTAGCTGATTAATGATGTGGTGGAAAAGGTGATGAGAATATACACAAATACTGCAGTGTTAAATTCATACTTGGGGATAATTGGGCAAGGATGACATTATCTTCTTCACTTCTCCCATCAGCACTATTTCCATGCTTCAGGCAATGTGTTCCTTTTTGGAATGCGAAACTAAAGATTCCAAAGGCATGGCTTTGTGCTCTTTTCTTCCTGAGGTTGCTCAATTTATTTAGATTTGTTCTAGGTTTTAAATGGCAACTTACTATTCGTGTGGAAGACAAGAATTGTAAAACTTCAATTGCAATTAATAGTTTACTTTTGATTAGCTGTTCTCTTGGTGTGATGAACATTGGTAGTCTGAGTGATACACTAGTTTTGAAATTTGCATAGAGGATTATAATGCAAGTCTTTTTTTTGGAATAGTATAATGCTACAAGTCACCATTGCAATGTTATTGTTATTGTTGGCCCAGGTAATTGAAGAGAAGTCTGCATTACCACCTCAGGTTCAAAGTATCATTTTGTAATTACTAAGAAATTCAACATCATCACAACCCCCCCAAAAAAAAAATCCCAGAAACTATTCTGTCTGTTTGTAAAGATTTTAAATGTACTTTTTAAAGACAGTGCTCACCCTTTTTCTGGACTTGACAAAAATTGATTTAGGGTTTGCTGAGAGTTGCTCCCCCTGTATTTGGGGTATTAGGCAGCCACGTGCTGTGGTCAAGCTTCTTAACACCAAGTTGGTTTGTGTGCAAGTGGGGATAATGATTGTCCTTTATTAGGTGCTTTGAGACCAGTGAATAAACAGTGTACTGTCAGAGTTAAATATTGTTAACTATGCTGTGATTGTGCTGCTTGGCAGCTGAGTGTGTGTAACACCTCCTCAGCAATTCATCCTTGTTTATGCTGGCAAACTGAATCCCCTTCTGCCCAGGGGAACCAGAGTCATACAAAATATACAAAATGCCAATAGTTTAAAGTGTTTTCTTAATATGTGCCTTTGACAAGTTGTAGTAAATGTTAGTTAGTCCAGCCTACAGGAGCAGGTACCAAACATAATGTCAGCACTAGTCAAAAAATGATGTTTCTTCACCTCATTATGGTTACTTTATCAGGTATAAAAATTCAGCATGACAAAGGCCTCCACCTCCTTGTGCTCCGTCCATGGCTGGCTCAGACGCACAGAGAAATTCTCCCAGCCCTGGAATGTGCCTTAATGCAGCCAGCAGGATGGAAATCTCCTGTGATATAAGTTTACCTTGCAATCTGCAGGAATTCGTGTCTTGTTAGACACTGGAGCTCAGCATCAAATGATTTAATGCTGGGAATTTGCTGTCTTATTTATTTAAGTCTGTGCTCACTGATTAATAATTTCATTTTGTTTCAGAGATGTTGCCTGGTTTGATGCATCCTGGCTCAATCGCATCAAAGAAGATGTTGGTGACAACTGGAGAATAAAGGTATTTAAAACTGAAGATAATGAAGTTTGTGGGGTTGTGCTGTCCTGAGATCTGGCAGTCCAAAACCTACAGAATTAAGCTCAAGCTTTTGAAGGATATTTTAAATGAGCTTGAGTTGTCTGTGGATAGTTTAAGTGCCTTCCAGCATTGTTGGATGGGGATTTTCTGCTGTGATATTTCTCTTATGTCCTCTCATAGAGCTGCCTTGTAACCATTTTACTAGAAATTATTATTTGATTTAATAAGAAGTAAAATTTTAAATAAAATTATAACCTTGTCTTTCATGTACAACAACTAGTCCAGTAATTTGAAGAAGATACTGCAAGGAATTATGGACTACTATCATGAGGTATGGAAAAAACAATTTGCTGTTATTGTTCTCATCATTAAACACAATGATTATTGCTCCCCTTGACTTAGCCAAGTAGAAAAAAAGCTGTAATTTGTTTTGAGGGCCTTTTAGGCAGCAGATGTATGATAATTATCTGTTAAGTGGGAGGTCTGAGTGAATATGAAATTAATTTGAGCAGGTGTGTTTTTGATAAGCCTCTTGGAGTACAAACTGGGAACCATGTGTCTGCCCCAGTGAATGTTGAAAGGACTGAGCTGCAGAATTGTTGACTTTTGTGTATGTGCTCATGTTTGGTCTTGTCTAGAGAAGTTTTAATCCTTTTGTACACAACAGAACAGACTCAGCAACCCCAGTGTAGGTTTTATGATATTCAGTGGGAAGCTGGGAGCCCAGGTAGGCATCTTCCTGGACAGTATTATTTGTTCTGTCTCATGCAAAGATGAGTACAGTAGCCATAAAAGGCTGCTGTATTTTGAGTTTAAAAAAAAATTGCTGAATTTTGTATTGATCTGATTACAGTTATGTAATGGGTATGGTTTAGAAAAACTTGCCAGATCTTGTTGTGGCTTCCTGGTCTTGCCGGGCTGAGCTGTGACACCAAGAGCCAGGCCCTGACATGCTGCCAGTTCTGGGGATCTCCGGCGGGCCCAGAAGCAGAAGGTTTTTAAGGTTATGAGAAGAGTTTGGAAGCAACTTCATCTCCAAGTGTTATTAATTCCTTCTTTTATTATGTTGGTTAAATAAATGAATTCTCTCATATCTGAGAACTGTCCCGGTAACTTTTACTATTGTCACTTTTTCTTGTAGAAGTGCTCAGTTAACTAAACCCAATAACAAACTTCTAGGGCATTTTCTCTGGCTGGCTCATTGAGCCCAGATTTCCCACGTGATATCAGATTTTCGTGTTGTACAAAAGTGGGAGTCTACTTTTCCTTATTTTAATTGTTTTTTCAGTTCCTGGGTCAGCAGATTGCAGAAGAGCTTATTCCAGACTTGACCCGCATATCTGAGAACTCGGATCCCACTGAACTGGGCAGGCTCCTGCAGCTTATTTTGGGTTGTGCAGTCAACTGTGAGAGGAAACAAGGTAGGCACTACCTTAACCTGCTCAGCAAACAGCAGACTGCCTCAGGTGATAGTTAAGGTGGAAAAGATGTAGAAACGTCCCTTTCTTATCCATCAGCATTGTTAATTTGCTCAATGCCTGTTCTGAAACTGGAGTTCACTTAAAAGCAGAAATTCCCTGGGAAATGTCTGTGAATAAAACTCAAGACTTTGTTCAGAGTAGGTTTATAAATAGAGTCTGAAATATGTATGATTTATTCATATTGTTAAAATGTGTACCAAGACCTATTCAAATGCAAATATAGCAAAATTAAATTATGTCCTTAAATTTGAAACTGCTTCTCTGCCTGCAGAGGCTCAAGACTGAATTGGTTGTTTTCTCTCCCATTACCAGAACTAATCCTCCATGCTCTGATGGCATCTCTCCTTAAGCAGAGTATAAACATGTCCAGTTAAGAGTTTATAATCTTTTGTGCTTATCTGCCATATTACTGCATAATAATGATGGTGGTTAATGGTTCTCCTCTGTATGAAGAAACCACTACTTGTTTTGAGGAGCTTTATGGATAATAGTTTTTTCTGGATCTTTCAGCAAACAGTTTATCATTTTACTCAAACCATTGAGATGACCATTGTCATGAGTCAGTGCAAATTCTTTTTCACAGAACACATACAGAACATCATGACCCTTGAAGAGTCTGTTCAGCATGTTGTCATGACAGCCATTCAAGAGGTAGGTAACAGTTCATAGCCTGATGCTGTCAGTTGAGAAGTCCAAAAACCTTTTTGTTGACCTTTGTGAAATTTTTTACATCCTAGGAAAGGTCAGGGTGGAGTAGAAGTACTTTCCTAAATTATTTGGGAGGTTTGGGGCTAAAAGACCTTAAACCCCAGCCAAAAGCTTTTGGTTTTAGACTCATGGTGCCCAAACATACAACAAACGCTTAAGGTTTTTTTATTCCACACAAGAAATGTACACAGTTGCCAGCTACTGATTATACTGGAGTTAGATTCTGAAATTCTGTCCCTGTGCTGTGGTCTTGGTCCCAGAGTTAAGCTGATTGTCTTTGTGAGGTTGCATTGTTCTGACAGACCATTCCAGCCTGTGACTTAGAAGCTTGCAGCTGCATCTCTTCTATTTTTGTCATGGTGTGCTCCTCCTCCTGTCTTAATTTGTTCTTGGTTGGATCATCTTAGTGATCCAGCTCACAGCTTAGCTCTGCAGTCACTGGCTTTTGAGAGCTTCAGGACTGTGAAGCAGAGTGTGGAGAGAGGCAAAAACTAAATACTGAATGTGAAGAGAAGGTGGTGTGTAATTGCACGCTCGTCAAGGTAACAGTGGAGTTGGTAATAAGCTTTATAACTTAGATTTAAATTGTCTGTATATTCTTTAAAGATGAGATGAGGAGGAGCATTATTAATCTGTTTTGGTATATTGAAGGGATGCAATAACACAATGGAAAATACAACTGGTACTCAGTAGACAGTGAACTTACAGATCTATAACCTCTAATTTAGCCTTTTTTTTCCTCTGCCTTCTTTCTGTAGCTCATGAGCAAGGAAATAACAAGTGCTTCCCCATGTGATGCATCAAGTGAAGTGGAACAGCAGGTAATTGCCTGATCTGTGTTGCTGTTGTAGATCAAGCCTGAACAACAAGTTGGTATTTGGCCATCCCTTAAATGAAGAAATGCTGGTTTTCAGTGCTGATTAACTGAAAATTTAAGTGTTATTCTATAGCTTCTTTAAAAACCCACAGTGACTGTGTGGGGAAACTGGTCAATGCAAACCTACATTGCAGGGAGGGGTAAAATTCCTGATAACCTGAACACTGCAAGGTGTTGCACATAAAATGAACTTTTCTTTAAAGGGATATGAAAATGGTGACAGCATGTTCCTATGTTTTGTTAAGCCTTTAGCCTAAGGTGTTATGTTTCAATAATTTTCTTTCTAAGTGTGATAATCATTTAGAAGGCAAGTGAAATGAGCAGGGATCCTGATCTAGCAGAGCATTTAAAGGTTTGTGTCTCAATGTGTGCACCAACAGCCAACTTAGACAATGGGTGTAAGCAGTTGAGGCATTTTAGAAGCTGTAACTGAGTACTTTGAATATGGGCCATAGTGATTGACTGCCTTATTTTTGAAAGCTTAAAAAAGCCTTGGAAGACCTTCAGGAAGCACGAGCAGAAAAAGAAGAGTTGGCACAAAGATGTCAAGAGCTGGATTTGCAGGTAAGAAGCAGTCAGTTGTTTGTTTCTTTAGTGTAGTGGTGCTGCTATTAAGATGTAGAAATTTTTAAGGGCAAACTGCATTTTGCATTGTTCAAATTTTTGTGAGAATTTGTAGCTGCTTGTGGGGGAAAAGCAATTATTCTGTGCTCCAGTGCAATTACTGGGAAGAGTTTTCTGATGGAAGTGTAAGCTGAGGTCCTGTGCCAGGTTATCTCAAAGGTTCTTTGTCTCAGGTTAATGTTTATCCTTAGTAGCAGGTAGTGTTAAAACAACCTTATCATGGTTTGAAAAATTGCCCTTTTCATTCTTAGTCCTCTAGTCTTTTGTACTGTGTCCAAAAAATCCAGTTCATGTCATAAACATTAATTAGATTTAATCATAAGAAAATCACGCTGTTTCAATAGGAGTTGATGAAGGACAAAAATATGTAATTTATCTAAAACTTGCTGACTTTTTCTCATACACAATTGCAACATGGAGGAGATTTCAGGATAAAAATAATGAAAACTAATAGATCCTTGCTGGCACTTTCAAACAACTCTAATAATAGGCCTATTTTTGTTTTTAATGGATATAGCAGTTAATCAAGTCACTCTTGAGAGAAAGGAAAGAGGACTTCATGACAATAAAGAGAAATTTGCATTTCAATCAACACTTTAAAGAAAAAAAAACACTTATTAGTCCCTCTCTTATGGCACTATAATCTGAGAATAGAAAGAGTTTTATCTGGGAAGGCAATTCTTGTCAGATTTGGCTCTGCACAAAGAGAACATTTGGGTGGCATCTTCTTGTAGGAGCCAGAGGGCTGTACTGGCTGTGAGAGCCTCTGGAAATGAACACCCACAAAAGCAGAGGCCAGTTTTACATTTCTTACTGACAATGGCAACTGTAAAAGCAGAATACTTGTGTCTAAAGCAGCTCAGAGCTACTTGCCGTGCCCAGGAAGCCACTGCTATAACTGAATTGATATTTAATTTTCTTTTTTTCTTGAGGCAGTAGTAAGGCTTCCTAGTGAAAGCAGAGATGTAAAAATGCTTGTGAGAAGAATCTGCAGAAGGAGTCCCATGTGTTCTCCAGTTTTCCCTGGCTTTTCTCCCAGCATTCTCTATTAATTAATCATAGGTGATGTAGAGCCAGTTGCTCATAATGTGGCATGGGACAGGTGAAAGGTTTGCAAGGGAAAGGTACTGAATATAAACAAATGAGTTAATGACAGCACATCTCTGTCATACTGTGATGTGTCTTCAAAACATCTCTTCATCATTTCTGTGACACCACTTCTGCTACATTGAAATAATTAAAAAAGAAGAGAAGGCTACCAGAAAGCAACTGAGAAAAGATGTAAAACTTGCTCTCACTTGTGTCACAGTTTGATCTTTAGGGTTTTTGGATCTGAGAAGAAGTCTGAGATGAGGGGTGTTTCAGGATTATTCTGAAAGTCTGAATGTTGTGCATGCTTAAGGAGTGGCTGAGCCCTGAACAGGAGGCTGAGCAAGGCTCAGATGTGCTCCCTACTCACAGGTGTTTGTGTGCATGTAAATAATAAATGACATCTGGTACATAAAAAGGAATGAACCTAGAAAGCCAGCACCTTATGAAGTGGCAGATGAATCACTGTTTGACTTTTACATCTGTTTGCCTGATAGATTTTTAAATTATGATCACAAACAAATTGTTTCTTAATATTGCATACTGTAGATTATATCTGTTTAATAATGTCATCATGATATGTTTTATTTTATTTAATTTATTTGAAGCCATAATATTGACTTGACGCTTCTCATTTAAACTAATTCTTAATAAATTCACTTGTAAGGTCTCAGTCTTCCTTGATATTTTCCAAGAGTATAAGAAAGGTAGGTTTACTTTATAATTCAGGAAAACATAACCCAAAAAGCATATTGTCCCTGTTTCAATGCAGTCAACTAACACATGCTGCGTGCTCTTATGTTCAACAGGACGTTAAAATTAACACAGCAGCTTTCACTAGACAAACTTTAAAGGTTCTATCCTCTTAATCCTTGTGGCTGTGAAGCTGGCTGCTGTCAGTGAAGTGCTGTAGCCCCCGTGCTTAGCTGTGACACCGGGTAGCCGTGTGTGTGCTGCCGGGGTTGCATGCTCCCCCGAGGCTGGCCAGGCTGTCCGTGCGTGTGCGCTTCGGCCCACCCTGCTCCCGCAGCCTGGGCTGCTGCCCGTGCCCTGCTGCTTCTGGTTGTCAGCTCCAGGCAAGATGGACACTTGTTGCAGCAGCACTCAGAGTTTTTTTTGTACGGCGTCCGTGGTGTTTTTAATGGAAGCAGCAGTTTCTCTCCATATCACTTTGTCTGCCTTTTTACCGTGGTTTCAGTTACAGAAATTTGTCTTTTTATTTAGAGGGACTTTTCCTGTAGTGCTTCATAACTGTCATACACTAAAGCATCTGTATGCTCAAGTGTGCTCTGTAAACTACATTCTAAAACTTCTAAACGCTCAGCCTTTTTCATAAACTAATTTGGTGATGTATTGCTGTCTTGCTTCAGTTCTTTGGACAGGTCTTACAGTGTTCATGCTGTTTTATCTGTGCTAGGTGGCTGCCCTCCAGGAAGAGAAAAACAGCTTGATGTCAGAAAATGAGATTATGAATGACAGACTAGAGCAATTAGATGACTCTCTTGATGATCCAAATACCATGGTTGCAAAAAAGTATTTTAGTGCACAGTTGCAGCTGGAACAATTGCAAGAAGAAAACTTCAGGTATGAAATAATTTCCCCCCAAAATCTCTCACTTGTCTAATGCACTCCGAAAATTTCTGGTATTCTTTGGGGCTTTTCCATCTCAATTTCTTTTGCATTAAAGCTGTCTAGTGCTGTATTAGCATATTTTAAAGGCAGTCCTTATATTTAAAAGGAAAAAGAATCTGTTACTTATTGTAAAATGTATCAGTTTGTAATTGCAGTAGCCCTCTAATACTTAGAAAAAGGGAAGAATGTGATGGAAGGCAAAAAAATGAGTGCTGATTTGTGTGTCAACAAATGAAAAGCTAAACCCCCCAACACCACCACCATGTCTCTGTACTGAACTGATTTCTTTCCTTCTTTAGTCTCCGTGATCCATATTGGGAAACAAAATCCCTTTTAATGCTATTCCTTGATACTGATGTGATAAATTTGCAGTGTGCAATGCATTATGATTTAACAGGTAGACAACAAAATGTTCCATGTCTATTGTAACATTAAATCAGTAGTTTTCCTTTTATCTTGTTTCTTTTTAGTAATTCTAGTACCAAATGAAACTGTGCAATAATGATGAGTTCCTAACAGAGGTACTGGTTTTGATCTGGTAGGCTTGAAACTGCAAAAGATGATTATCGTGTCCATTGTGAAGATCTAGAAAAGCAATTGATTGAGCTGCAGCATAGAAACAATGAACTGACCTCTCTGGCAGAAGAATCAAGAGCCTTGAAAGATGAAAATGACATTCTTAGGTATGTAGCAGAGACAGCTCCACACACACACATTAGGATTTAATGGCTAAATCCAAGGATTTGTACTTAACAAGATTTTTTTGAGGTGTTATTTCTGCAGATCTTACCTGAATGAGCTCTTTGCTAAGCAGAGGTGAAGTGCAGCCTTTAAGGGAAAGGCTCCATTGTTTGACAAGAATTACACATGGAATTTGTCTGTGAAGCAGAATTAATGACTACAGAATTTAAGCTTCTTCATATGGGACAGAAAGTGGAAGTTCTCATATAGAAAAACATATATGCACCTAGAATTTTCACCTAACTTCTGGTGTCAGCGTTCTAGGCCAGATTTAGGTTAGTGAGATCATTAACCAAATGAAGATGAAACACACAGTAACTTTCATGAGAATTCAGTGCAACATTCCAGCTTGTGTAAACTGTATTAAATACCAGACCACCCAGGAAATATCCAAAATAAATTGTGTTGTGAAAGCAGATCTGATATTCATAAAATAATATGAATCAAACATGGAAAGAAAAGTGGTTTCAGGTGTTTAACTTAGTGGTTATTAAATAGCATCTGAAACAAAACCTAGCTGTAGATTTTTTCCATTATTTTCTTGTACCAGCTTCTGGCGGGATATTAATGCAGATAATAAACACAGATATTAAAATTAATTTTAAAATTATGGTCCCAGTGTTTTCTTACCATGTAGATTTTTTTAAATGATCAGCTGACAGTTCTCACGTGTATGTGCCAGTGATAATTTTCACAGAGCAGTTATGTTCTAATTCTGAATCATACCCCAGTGAGAATATACAAGACACCAGTATTTTGAGGTGATTGTCTAGCACAGGATGTTGTGGTGCCACAGAATTCCTCAGGGATATTTGACCTACTAACCCTTGCTCATATTTCTGGCATGTGACTGTCAGTCTCACTTGAAGACTGGCTGATTTCAGTTTTTATAAGCAAGTTTGTGTCAATTATACACTTAAAAATAAAGCGGTGAAATGTAGCTGCTGCTAAGCATGTCACATCTCTCTTTGAAAATACTGTGTGTCAGCAGAGTTTGGGTTTTGTAACCTTTCCTTCTGGTTGCTGTTGATCCTCAAGGGCTACTGCAGACAAGGCAAGCAAGCTGGAGTCAACAGTGGAAGTGTATCGGAAGAAGCTGCAGGACCTGAATGATTTCCGCAGGCAGGTCAAGTCCCTGCAGGAGACCAACATGATGTACATGCACAACACTGTCAGCCTGGAGGATGAGCTCAGGAAAGCCAACGCAGCACGAGCCCAGCTGGAAACCTACAAGAAACAGGTAGTGCTGCACTTCTGTAACTGGGAACACCTTAACAACCCCGCATTGTCCTTTTGGAATTTCTGAGTTGTGAAAACTCCCTCATACCCTGCAGTTCCCTTGTGGGCTTCTTCCTGTTTGTTAAACTTGCAAACTTAACTGTAGTTGCCCTCTCAACTGATGTGAGAGTCCATAGTCTGCAGGCTTTTCTTCTTTACTCTGTCTGAGGTAATTTGTGTGCCTGGGAGAGGTTGTTCAGCTGTTACTGAGATTGTTTGTATGGAATCATAGAATGGTTTGGCTTGGAAGGGGACCTTGAAGATGATCTCATTCCACTGTCATGGGCAGAGACACACCTTCCACTATCCCAGATTGCTCCAAGCCCCATCCAACCTGAGCTTGAACACTTCCAGGGATGGGACAACCTTTGAAATCTGTGCCAGGGTCTCACCACCCTCACAGTAAAGAACTGTTCTCTTTCAGTTTGAACCCATTCCCCGTGTCCTGTCACTTCATTCTTATATGTTCATATTCTTACCATTCTTCATGAAAATTAAAAGTTTTATTTTAATTTCAGTAGGAATTGAGAAAGCGTTAAATAAAAAAAAAACCAAAAAAACCAAAATCAACCAACCAAAAATCAATATAATCCCTGAAAACACAGAGGCACCCATCCCATCTCTGCTTCCTTAACCTTGAGGAACCAACTGTTTTATTTCGGCTGAATTGGGCAGGAAGGATGTTTTAATGTAGCTTTTTAAAGTAGCATTTTGCAACATTCTTGTGCTAAATAATGCTTTTATAAAAAGGTCCAGGAGCTTCATAACAAACTGTCTGAAGAATCCAAAAGAGCTGATAAGCTGGCATTTGAAATGAAGCGTCTCGAAGAAAAATATGAAGCTTTAATGAAGGAAAAAGAGGTAAGTCCTTTTAAGAATTTGAGCACCTAAATCTCTCAGATCCTCTGCTTGAGGAGAGCCTTCCTGGAAGTAGTGCCTCCATAAGAATGAAGTTTAGTGCCCTGTGTGTGTGTATTCACATATAAAACAAAATACAGAATCATCGAATTGTGAAGGTTCGGAAATATCTCCAAGATCATCAAGACTGACCAAAAATTTGCATGTGTCATTATTACTTCTGACTAATGTTATTTGGACTTAAAAGTGGTGCAGCCTGAACTAACTCCATCTCCAATGTGTCTTGTTAGAGACTGATAGTGCAGTGTGATGCATTAAGAGAGACAAACGAGGAGCTCCGGTGTGCACAGATGCAGCAGGATCACCTGAGTCAAACAGGTACTGCTTTATCTTCAGAGACTCTTTTATTGGGATTACAGGTTTCTTTGAGTGTGCTAATTTAAACCCCTCATGTGATTTCAGGTGAAAAGAGCCATGAGAATCTTGCTGCTGAAATTCTACCAGTGGAATATAGGTGAGACCCAAAGGCTGAGGTTGTTTGGGATGTTCATATGTGGGGCATGACAATGCCTCTGTGAAAGTTGAGTGTTTACATCAACATGATTCTTTGTTCCCCTCCTTGCTTTACCTCCATATAGGCATACTAAAATTACTTTGCTTTTTTCTTAAAACCATATCAGATTGCTGTATGTAAGGCTGGGTTTGGAGTGGGAATTTAAAACTCTGCTCATATCTCTTAAAGTTTTCAAACATTTTCAGTTACCTTTTAATAACAAATTGCATTGTTACCCCAATTACATCATTAAGTACAGCCTGCTTAGCTCACTTTAATGTTGGGGGAGTGAACAGGACTATTGCCTCTTCCTCTTAGTCACCTTCTTAATTAAGAGTGACTTTTTTTGTTGTTTTTGCTTTAGGGAAATGTTTATTCGGCTGCAGCATGAAAATAAGATGCTCCTGCTGAAACAGGAGGGATCAGAAAATGAACGGATTGCAGAACTCCAGGAAGAGCTGGAGCAGAAGCACCGGACAGTGAACGAGCTGGAAACTGAGAAAAGGTGATGGGTGAAACTGCACCTTAAAATACACTAAAAAGTGATCTCTGGAGTTTTTAGGGTGACGTGTGCCTTGCATCTGTAGTGTAGGAACCTTTTCTTTCACCAGTGTAATTATAAATGAAGGATAAATGAAGCAAAGAAGAAGGAAGGTGGTTTAAATGTGGTAGATCTGTGTGTACCATACCCTGAAGGAAGTGTTGCTTACAGGACACTCCTTCACTCTGAGTTAGTGAATTGGTAGACCAAGAATGGATGTGAATGCTATTTCTAGAACTTCAGACTGTTAGACCATGAATTTTTCTATCAAAGAATGCTAAAAAATTTTACTAGAATAAGAAAATTAAAATGACAATAGGAATTTCATTACAAAATGTTCAGTAAAGCTCCATGTGTTTGTTTCTGCAGAAGTAGCAGTCAGACTAAAAGCATTTGAAATCAGTTTATTTGTGGCTTAAGTCATGCTGGGTAGACCCTCTGAGCAACTAATGAAACAGACAAATCTGTCTGTGAACTATTTATTTAGATGGGCAATAACTGTGTTTTTGTCCTAAAAGGCTCAATGAAGAGCGTATTGGAGGATTACAGCAGCAGATTGAAGATCTGCAAAAGACTTTACAGGAGCAGGGATCCAAGACTGAAGGAGTAAGTGAAACATTTTGCCAGTTTTGTTTAAAGTCCTGCAGTTTAGCATCAAGTCCTTTGTTTAGCATCTTATTTTTCAGTGTATCTGAAAAATACCTCCATATCAACTGCAGTTCAGTTGAAAAGCTCATGTGATTCCTTCTATGGAACTGTAACCCTTCTACTTTCCTTTCAAAGTCCCTGGCTTTATCACTCAGTGGATTTATTTGCTTTGGCTTATTTAGTTGTGCTGAGTATTCTTGGCTGATTTGTAAGAGCCCTTGAATGTTGCATGGTATGCAATACTGAAATACAACTGAATTTTAACTCTCTCCTTTCACAGTCCAGCAACCTGAAGCAGAAATTGGCAGCACACATGTAAGTAAGGCCCATGCATCCACAATAGCTTAATTACACTAAATAGCACACAGAAACTGCTTAAATCTTGGTAGGGATGTCTTGGTTTGTCTAAGCCACTGATTTGAGAATTTGAGAACTCTGTGCATAGAGTTAAATATTGGTGTCATAGTTTTGTTTACTGTGACCATGATGATCTTGTACCAGTACCACTTCACTGTCTCTTCATCACCACAAGCATTTTAACTGTTCTGATTCTATAACAGACTGCTAAAACCATCACTCCAAGTGTATTCTACTCCTCTGAAATATTTCCAGTCCTTTCAGCAGATGTAGTTCTTCCTAAGGTGATGCCGGAGGGGCTTAATTGTTAATTTTCCTAGTTTTAACTAAAGGAGGAATAACTCAAAAGTGACAATTTTTATGATATTAATATTTCTATTCAAACCCTGAAGAAATGCTAAAAATAGTTATTTAAATACTTCTGTCATGAAGGTAAAGCTTCCAGCTGTTAAACCTGGAATTATTTGTGAGCTTAATCCTTAGCCCAACTTTTCATTCACAGGGAAAAGTTGAATGAGGTTCATGATGAGTTACAGAAGAAAGAGGCTGATCTTGCAGAGCTCCAGCCTGATGACAGTCAGAACCGTGAGTTGTTTTGTGGGTTTTGGTTTTTTATTTTGGTATTTTTTAATAAGACTGTGTTAAGTTTCTTCTGAAATGATTCCCATATCCACTGGCTTATGGGATAGCTGTCTGGATGAGGCTTTCTGCTGCAGCTTATCTTTCAATCTGAACTGGGGGGCCTGGAGGGGTTTGTGTGTGGTGGTGAGCAGGATCCTGTGGGGGGTGAGGTTTGTTGAACAGTGCTCTGCAAAACAGGACAGCTGAAACAAAAATAAAAACTTAAACCTTCTAAACTTAAACTTTTAGCTTCTACATTGTTCTATATTTGAGGGGTGGTGAAGTCAAGAGAACACAGAAGCCCTGAGAGTACCATGTCTGTTTTTATTTTGTGTGTCTTTGTTGATAATTTCTGTAAACAGCCCAGAAGATTGGAGAGCTGGAAGCAGCTTTACGAAAAAAAGATGAGGATATGAAAGCAATGGAAGAAAGATATAAAATGTACCTTGAAAAAGCAAGAAATGTGAGTGGCATGTTTCTGAACATATGCATTCCTCCCTCATAAATTGTTAAATACATTGAGTGTGTGTCCCCCTCCCAATTAAAAGCAGTAGCTGCAAGTTTCATTTTTAGTCAGATTGTTCAATTGATTGCAGTCTGTTAAGTCTGAGAGAATAAATAGGGTTTAGGCTGAGCATGAGGTGCAGTAGGGATTCCTTTGTCCCCTTTGCTCTCTGTTGTACAGGGAAACAGCCTGACCAGTGCCCAGCCTGTTCTCACATTCCTCCTTTGAGCAGATGAGATGCAGAGCTGTTGAGAATCAAACTGACTTGCAATGCTCTTGTTTTGCCTTGCCCAGGTGATAAAAACCTTAGACCCCAAGCTAAATCCAGCATCAGCAGAAATTATGTTGCTCAGAAAACAGATACTGGAAAAAGACAGAAGAATTGAAGCACTAGAGGTAAAAATTTTGCATATATTTAAAAATAACTTCTAACATAATCTGTGTCTGATATGAGGCATTAAAGATGTTGTTTCCTAGTGATTCAGTAAAATCTGCCTGGCTGAAATTCTGAAAGAATTGTTGACAGTAGTCCAAGTATCAGAAAAAAATGGGGAAATGCATTGAGTTTCACAGCATTATTGATGGGACTGTTTGGAATAGTTGCCTGAGCAAATACAGAACTCCTCAGCATGATTCAGTAGGCTGATAGGTCTGACTGTAAATGCTGTGGCCTCACATTTCTTTTATGTATGAGTACAAGGGAAGTATATTATGTAATAGCAATTAGCCAGTCACTGGAGGTACATTCTTTTCAGGTGAAAAATTACTAAATTATTTATAGATTTTGTGATACACAGCAGACCTCTTGTGCATTTCCCCACACAAACCCTCAGAGTACATTTCCAAGTTCTGTTTGTGTTTCTAACTGCAGCTTGTGTAGTTTAGCCTCTTCTTAAAGCAGGCTGATATTTAACTCTCAGTTTTTTATGGAAGTATCTTTGTTTATACTTCTAGGCTTTGTAGTTATTTGGTGTATCGAAGCATTTCTGCTGTGTTTATTTCACTCAGTGGACTGCAGCAAGTTTAAGCAGATAAAATTTGTGTTTTAAACTGAGATTTGTGTCCTTGCAGAATGAATACAAAATAGCCAAGCTACGTGACTATGAGGAAAAGCTGATTGTAACTGCATGGTACAACAAGGTGGGTCAAAAATCCACTTTTTGAAACATCTTTTGCTACGCGTGCCAGTTAAATCTTAGTTTAACCTAAGAAATACAGCAGAAAAAATTCTGTATGTGTACTAAGCAAGCATGAGCGGGATGGATAACTTTTCTCCTCCTGTTTTTGCTGTTGTTGAAGCTGTTGTTTAACATTGCAGAGCCTGAGCCTGCAGAAGCTGGGCATGGAGGCCAGGCTGGTGGGCAGCAGCGGCGGCTGCGGGGCCGGGCCCGGCCGCTCCTTCCTGGCGCAGCAGCGTCACGTCACCAACACCAGGAGGAACCTCACTGTTAAAGTACCAGGGGCAACATCTGATTAAACACGAGGACATGGAGAAGACTCACATGCTAAAGTGTCCTTACATGTTTTATACCTTTCCACTTTACCTGCTTGATGAGAGAGGAGGTTAGAATGCTGGGCAGCTGCACATGACAACATCAGAACCTGTCAAGAAGAGATTAAGGTGATCAGCCAGAAGGTGGCATGCAGTTTTCCAAGTAGATTTAATAAATGCAGCATGTACAAGCACAACTGAAAAGATTTCTATTTGCCTTTAGATTATATTGTAAATATGAAATTTGGCACTATATATTTAAAACTTTATTTAAGTGGGTTTGGGCTAGAAGGTTGACTTTTATAATGGGAAGATGTTATGCAAAGGTGTACTTCACGAAACTGGCAATATTGGGCATTTTTGCTGGGCTCTCTGAAAACAGATCTAAAAGATTGGTAGCATCTTTTAAAAAATGCTTTTTTAGAATAGAAAGTACAATTTTAAAAGCAAGAAAGTACTTGTATTTAGAGAAGAAGAAAATTAAGGTGTGGTACCAGTTGTTATGTAACAGAAGACAGGATTTGTTTTATGAGAAGCAGAATTTCTTAAAGTTTATTAAAGAAAAAAAAAAAAGCTAAGCTTAAGTTGGTGCAATAATGCACTGAGAAAAACCTGTCTTTAAGATGTTGAATTCACTTAAGCCAAAAAAGCTTGTCTTTTCCTGGGTAAGAAAAAAGCTATTATACTAACTCAAAAGTCTGGGCTATATTTTAAAACTCTGGTATACTGCATTTATCTGCAGAAAGGGGGATTAGGTGGGAAGGAGCCCCATTTATTTCAACCTATTTATACAAGCCTGTGCATGGCAATTGCATTTCCTCTTTCTTAAATGTAGTTTCACTCAGCTCTTCTGAACTAACTGTGCTAGGCAGAGGAGTGAGAGATGGCTTTGGCAGTTACTGGCAGCAGAGCTTGTTTGTTGGCAGGGAGCAAAGTGCATAAACTGTAATAGTTTGATTGAAAATGAAATGAGGGTTGTTACCTGACATCTGTGTGCAGGAAGTTGCTGTCTTTCACAAAACTTGTGACTTTATTTCCCAAAAGTCTAACTCTTGTTTTGAATTGTAATTTTAGGAAAGGTGCTAATGTCTGTTCTTTACAAATGGTCTAGAAAATGTTTATTATACCCACAGTTAATTGCAGCAGCCCTTAATATGAAATGAATACACTTAATTTAACTGCTTGAGGGTGCTGTACCAGACCACCATGTAATATAAAATTCAGCTGCCTGTGAGAATGAAAACACTTTTGTGTTTTACCATTAAGGCCGTCTTTGATTTGAGAACAGGGTTCAATTTTGTAGAATTCTTAGGTTTTGAATTGTGACATTTGGGTAGTATGTCATTTTGCCTGCCCCTCACTGTAGCTTGTCCTTTGATTTCTTCCTTCCCCAACATCTTAAATCTTTAATTTGGCATTGTATGTCATGCCAGAGAAAAGGCAAGCATTCATTTTTGATACTTAGGGTTGCTTCTTAGTTGTGGTGGTTGTTTTACAGTGCTGTATGTATGAATAGGCATTCAACAGATTTCCCCCTTCAAAAGGCATTGTGTAAAAGCCAGGCTCGTGCTCAGCGTGGCATGAGCCACACATGTGGCTGTTGGAGAGCTGTCTGTGGTGGTGTTCTTCAGGACTCTGCTCCTTTGTACTACCTCGTGGGTTTTGAGGTCTTTTTTTGCTGCAGTGGTGTTAGTGGGGTTGCTGTTGTTAAGGTACAGTTGCATATTTAATCTGCCAGTGCTGTGGGTGGGAGGGAGGTGGTGGTGAGCAGGAGATTAAGGCTTAGCAAGATGCTTCCATTCCTAAAGTCTGGTATTTGGTGTGTTATAGTGAAATGTGGAGCTGTTTCTGATGGTGTTGAGTGGGTCTCTTAACCCTCGTTCTTTGCAGCATGGAAACTTTCATGGATGTCCTTCAAATACTCATGTAGTTGGTAGGCTTGATTTGTTGTACTTCTCCCAGTAGTGGAGCTGTGTCAGTAGTCTGTCAGGTGCTGAATAGTGACAAACTTGGAGCAAATGTCTTTGACTTACACTTCTCAAAACTGCAGACCCTGGGACCAAAAATAACTAAGAACCTCTCTATCATTTAATTGGAAGTTTGTCTTCTGACTAGTGATGGAAGAATTCAAGTCCTGAGCTACAGGTGGGGATCAGCCTTTTTCAGGGCACAGCTGTCCCCAGTAATCATGTTGGGGTTGCCAAAATGAATCTGGTTTTCAGGTATTGGATGAAATGTTGCTTATTTGGGACTTTTCCAAACTGTTAAGATTGAAGCCTGTGAATATCACTCAAGGGTTTCTTTGGGACTGAGAACCTGTTTAAAAGCAGCTGTTACACAACTAGTGAAACCTGGGTTCTGTCCTGTGAGCAAGGAACTGATGTGTGGCAATAAATCCTGGATTGTAAGCCATGGTGTTGTATTCACTTCAGCTCATCTGCCTGTGCAGGAAGGACCATTTTAGGTCAGGATCATTTTAGTGTTTGCTTCACCCATGTCAAACCAAAAAGCTGCTCAAAACACTGCTGTGTTTCAGCTGAGCTGTGTCCAACATGCAGCAGCAGAGCCCTGTCCCTCCATGTCCTTTGAGGCACCACAGCTGAGGCAGGAGGAACAGAGAGGCCCCTGGGCTCTCCTGAAAGGTGAATTTGGACCAGCACAGTTGAGAGCAGACTCAAATCTGAGGTGAAGCCACTGAATCCTGCTGAAGTTAAATGGCATTATTAGGAATTGAGCCAGTTTCCAGTAAAACGGGTAATATAGATCCAAAGAAACAAAAAATGTTCTGATTGACATATCATTTGTTAATTATTTTTATATAAGATTAATTACTATGGAAGAGAAGTGTTTTATAGCAATAATACAAAATATGGACTAGTAGGTTCTTTTTACTCAAGATGGGTCAGGCAGCAGTTTTGAGAAGATTCTTTTGCAACAACCTTATTATATAGTGGTTTAAGAAACATTCACTGGAAATAAATTTTCACCTGATTTTTTTGTTGAGTAAAAAATATATATATATGGGTATTCTATTTTCTATGATATACACTTACTTGGAAATAAGTAATATAAGCAATACTGATGTTCTATTTAGGTAGCCATAAATAGTTTAGAAATTAGAAAACGAAAACAATTGTTTAGGAGTTGGTAATGTCTAGTACAATAATTTTCTTACTTGTTTCTTTTTCCCCTTCCCCTAAGCTAAGGTTTTCAGTGTATCGGTGTCTACATCTTCTGTTTAAAACAAATGTAAACACTGTGTTACATAGAACTCGAAAAATTGCACTAATTTTTAAACTTTTGGTTTTATTTTTTTCTTTGGAAAAAAATCCTTTTATATTCACATAAAGATTTTTAAAATGAATTCTTCGGTGTCTTTATTCCAAGCCATGTATCTAATGGTCCCTAGATGCTGTTTCTGGGCAATGCAGAGCCTGGTTCTGTATTTTGGTACTTTTACACCACCTTGTTTCAGGACAGACTTGTATTGTCATGAGGGTATGGTTGTGATGGGTTGTGCTGCTCTCCTCTGCTGCTTCCAGCTCATTCCTCCCACCCAAAGCTGGTTCTGTCTGCTCAGCCCACAGGCTGAGAGCTGGGCCTTGTGAAGTGCAAGATGAAACCCCTCTGCAGATGGGCTGTGGAGTGACCCCAGTAATTATTGCTGCCCAGGTAGGTGAGGGTGTCTGCCTGTTCTCAGCCCCTCCTGAGAGGACACAGAGGATCAACTACAGCCCTAAATCACTGTTCTTGCTTTTATTGGGAAAAGAGAACTGGCTGCCCTGTCCAGCCTGCTGTGCAGGTGATTTATGTGCTCCATCCTGAGTCCCATTGCCAGCTCTCATTCCCTGAGCTCTACCCCAGCCCAGGAGTGCTGTTGGTGAAGGCTGGCAGCCTTCAGCCCTCTGGAGTGGAGATCTGAGGATGAGGAGCTGCGTTGATTGCCAGCGTGGAAGGGCCTGTCCCAGAAGGGATGAAGCCATTATGGAAGAACTGGTTTTCCTGCTTTCTGAGGCTGGACATAAAACCAAAAAACACTGACACCAAAGTGTGCAGGTGTGTGAGGGAGAAGGGAAGGGAAGAGGTGCTCAGCTGTGCAGGAAGCCCGAGCTGAGCTGCAGGATGTGTTCAGTCCTGAGCCTGTTTGCTTGCACCTTCTGGCAGCTCCTGAAGAGCCAAGCACTGCAGCAGGAGCTCTGTGTTCATGTGAAGGGTGTCCCTGAAGAATACAGGATTACAGCCCGGGGTGCAAAGGAAAGGAGGAGCTGAGGTCAGTCATGTGTGGGAGATGGTTTAGGTGGAGGGGGGCAAAATGTTCAAGAAGCCTTTGAAATGTATTCTTCTTTTGGAGTTTAACTGAGCAGAGGCCTATGGAGGGAGCTTTTGGATAGAGCAGCAGCTTGGGAAAGGAAATGGGAATCTGAGCAAAGCACGAGGAGGAAAAATGTACCACAAAGCAGTCAGATGACACCTGTGCACTGGAATTGTTTTGGGAGGAATAGCAGAAATAGCTCACTCAGCAGAAACTTAACCACTGTTCCCCAGTCAGTTCCAGGCATGCAGCCCACTTGCAGCCTTCCCCTTCAGCTTCCCTCAGAGAACCAAAAGAAAGGAGATCAGGTCTAGAAAGTCAAATTACTTTCTTGTTTCTGCTGGAAAAGGGAGGTGTGGGAGCCTGTGCCAGCAGCAGGTTGGAGGGCAGCTGGTGTGAGGGAGGAGGAGTGTAGGGCTGGGGCTGACCAGGTTCTCCCTAGGAGTGGGATGAGACAAGTCTGCATTTCATAAATGGACTGGTTTGTGTCCCACCATGTGTCCTCACTTCTCCACCTTACTGGATCTGTGAAACAGCCTCAAGTACCAGGAACAGCCCAAACTCTTGTTTCCACTGGCACAGAAAATCAGAGGAGGTGGCAGAACCTCCCACCCAGCCAGTGCTGAAGGAGCTGTGCCAGAAGCTGTGTTCACCTGGGAGAAATTTGCTTCCTTTAGGAACAGGTAAGCTGTAGTCCAGGGAAAATTGAAAAGAGGAAAAGATTGCTCTCTTCTCGTTTCCTCAGCAGGAGAGCAGGAGCTGGAGGTGTGTGTTCCTGGTGCTGTGCTGATTTCCCATCCTGTTCCTGGGGGCTGCAGCTTCTGCCTGGAGGTCTCAACAGGCCCCTTGTGGTGCAGTTATTTCCCAGTTCAGTGCATTTACTGGTTTTAACCACTGGTTGCCAATCTTGGGACTGTTTCCTTGTGTAGATGATGGCTCAAAACAGTAATTTGTTGTTATTTCCCAAGGCACCCTTTTCCTCCCTAGACCGTTGAGTGCAGCTGAACTGCATTGTGTGTTGCTGGAGCTCACTGCCCTCGGACACACCAGCCACTCTGTGATGCTGGGCAGGTAAACAGAGAGGATTTTGCATATTATAATTTTAGCTGTGCTGCCAGGATCATTTTTCCATCACTTCTGTAGGAATTGCCTTTGCTTTTACAGTGCCAACCTCCAGCAGTGCAGGAACAGAGACACAGAGCATGGCCAAAGCCTGCAGCCCCTGCTGGAATTGGTCTTCACTTTGCAGAACACTTCATGACAAAAATGCTTTGATAAGTATTTATTATGTATGAGACAAGTGTTATAGAGTAACTTTTTAAAAGATAAGTACATATTAAGGAAATGTCAAATTAATGCTTGTGTTAATTTTATAAAACAACAGTGCAGTCTCTAAAGTGTCCCTCAATTTTGCCAAGGTGAACCATGGCCATCCATCACAAAATTAGGAAATCCCCAAGCCCCTCATTAATTTACAGTGCCATAGGGCAAGCCTAATAATGGTCTGGAAGCTCCCAGACTGATCCCATGATCACACCATCGTGGGATACAGAGTGCAAGGTCTAATCGTGAAAAAACTG